TTCATGTTGGCCGGGCGGAGGGTCATATTGACTAGCATGTTGACCGGGCGGAGCAGTGCGACGGGGACAACCGGGTGGCAATCGGGCTGGAAGGGGCAAATCCTAAAGAAAGCAGCACACGTAGAAGTGAGCAGCACGGTCGAGATCTGTGTAGCCAACTTGCACATACGCCGGCCTGTTCTGACTGCATCCCGGACTTATCTGCTCACAAACGGTTGACCACCCACAAGCTCCTCGCGTGTCGGCATCGTGCCGAGCAGCACGGTGGTGAGTGAGGGGCGGTTTGTCTCTGGGGATCGGATATACTCGTCGATGTGTACGCAGGCTTTGTGATGCTGGAGCATTGTCATCAGTGTCGCTTTCATGCCGACACAATGTGTGAGACAACAGACAGCGTTGTTGACGGCTGCACCCAGGTGATGGAAATGGCACAATCTGTTTTTTATTTGTCACATATTCCTATACACAGCACGCCCCAAGGCCGCCTGGCTCCCTTCGACAGGCCTCCCATCCCTCGTTTACAGAAGGTTACTCTTCGGTCACTTGCCCTTCGGGCACTGTCCCTTTGGGCACTTGCCCTTCTGCCCCTTGCCTAGGTTGTCGCCGCTGGGCAGCACCTGGTCGAGCAGATCCTTCAGCGGCGGGCGGACGGGAAGGCCTTCAGCCTTGAAGCGGTGCTCACCGTTTGTGACGACCGAGCCTGCGATGCTGCCCGGCCCGGCCGTGTTGCCGTTAAAGGCGGTGTCGGACAGGGAGCCTCCACCGCCCCGCTTGTTAGCCCCCTGACCCTGGGTGTTGGCCTTGCTGGAGGCGCTGCCATCCGAGGCTTGTTGCCCGGTGGAGTGCGCGCTGGTGACGCCCACAAGGTCGCCACTGAACGAATCGAGGCCGAGCACCGACTCGCCGCCGGAACGGACCGCAGCGTGGGCTTGGCCGTCGTTCGTCGACTCCAACGAGTTCTGCGCCCCCGACTTCGTGGTCAGCGTGCCTTTGGAGTCGCCGGCGCGGCTCGTGCCCCTGGACTGTCCGGCGGCGCCGGCGCCGGGGCCCCTCGTGGCCACGTGCCCCTTGGAGCCGGCCTCAGTCTTCGCCCCTTGGGCGAGGCCGTCTCCGCCCGTAACGCCCTTGGTGTAGGCGCCCTCCGAGCCCTCGGCGGCGCCATCGCCGATGACGTCCAGCCCCACCTGGCTGCCGCTGACGCCCGTGACCTGGCCGCCGTTGGCGGCGGCGCGGCCGCGGCCTGCCACGCTGCCGCCCGCGCCGCCAGTCGACGTGGCCTTGCCGTCGGAGGCCGAATCGGTGCGCGTGGCGACGCCGTCGGGCCGCACCTCCACGCCAGCCGAGCCCACCGAGTTGATATGACCCTTGGCAGCGCCGTCGCCGCGGGAGGCCGAGCTGCTGCCCGCCGTGGAGTCCGTCTTGGTGACTCCGCCGATGGTGGCGGCGTCACCATTGGCGTCGATGTTGCCGGTGGCCTGGCCGGTGCTGACCACCTTGGTGTTGGCTCTCGTCTGGCTGCTGGCCTCTTCGCTGTTGGGTGTGACGAGCTTGTCCGTCTCACCGGCGGCGGAGCCCTTGCCCTTGACGGCGCCCTGTTCCTGCGACGTCAGTTCGACGCGCACGTGCGCCCTGGTCTTCTGGTCGGGCGTGTTCTCGGTCGAGGTTGTACCGCCGCTAACGCCAGCTCGCGCGTTTCCGTCCGTCTGCACGCCGCCATTGACATTTACTTGGGATCTGGCACCAGACGACGGCGGCGGCGGCGGTGGCGGCGGCGGTGGCGGCGGCGGTATTGGTGGGTGTGAAGGAGGCGGCGGTGGGGGAAAGCCGATGCCACTGGGGGCGGCTGCAGAAAGAGATGGGCATCATCACGCGAAGAGATGGTGCACATAGCGAGAAGACGCCGGAGTGAGCAAACACGTTCTTTGGTTGTTATAGCAGGGTCTCACGCGATTAGATTGACCTCGGTAACGTTCTTAGAGGTAGCACGTGCGCTCTTTTTTGTCGTGGACGTGACTTCATCCGCATCTGATCGAAAACTGCACGGCCGAAATGAAGTGAGCGATGACTTACGAAGCACGACATCTTTGTATATCCCACCACGTCGCCTCTACGGCTCGGTTGTGGTACTCCATAGTTGGGAGACGTCAGCGCCCTCTCGTGGTCGGAGGTCGGGGCCCAGCCCAGCTGCTCAGCACGTACCACACGCGGTGCCGATGGCGAGTGCGATCAGGAGCCAGACTTTCATGGCGGCGGGGACCGGGGACAGGGCTGGCAGGCACTGACGGCCCTTGGCCGGCACAGCCCGCCTTTATGCCGGCGGTGACAGGCGTGGGCCGTGCCGTCCGCCCCCGGCCCGGCGCCTAAGGTCAGCCTAACCATCCGCAGCAGCCGCGGACGCGCTGACACCGACACCTGCCGTGCCAACCGCTGACACCGACACTAGCCGTGTCAACCGCTGACACTGACGCTGCCGTGCCAACCGCAGACACTCTGGTACCAGCCGTATCAACCGCGTACACTAGTGGTGTCAACCGCTGGCAATGACACCTGCCGTGCCAACCGCTGACACCGACACTAGCCGAGCCAACCGCTGACACTGACGTCGCCGTGCCAACCGCAGACACTCTGGTACCAGCCGCGTCAACCGCGCACGCTAGTGGTGTCAACCGCTGGCAGTGACACCAGCCGTGTCAATCGCGCGCACTAGCTGTGTCAGCCACTGACGTTGACACCATGTGTGTCAGCCGCTGACACTGACACAATCCGTCCCAAGCACTGACACTGACACTAGCCATGTCGACCGCCGACACCATCCGTGTCAGGCGTCGATACTCTGGCACTAGTCCCGCCAACCGCTGAGACTTTGGACACCGGCAACGTTAACCGCTGACACCAGCTGTGTAAAGCGCTGACACCGACAATAGCCGCGTCAACCGCTGACACCAGGCATGCCAAACGCTGCCACTCTAGACACCAGATGCGTCAACCGCTGACACTAGCCGTGTCAACCGCTGCCACTCTAAGTAGCAGCCGTTAATCGCTGACACCAGCCGTCTCAAACACAGATACGCTGTCTGTGACCAACGCGCGAGCAACCACCGCTGGTTCAGTCAGAGGGACTAATGAACTACCACCAGTGCCACTTACAGCTTCCGCTGGTCCGGTCAGAGGGACCAATGAACTACCACCAGCGCCACCTACAGCCACCGCTGGTCCGGTCAGAGGGTCTAATGAACTACCACCAGCGCCACCTACAGCCACCGCTGGTCCGCTGTTCTGGTCAGGGTACACTGATGAGCCACCACCAGTGCCGCCCCCATCCACCGCTGGTACAGTCATGGGCACCGATGGACCATCACCAGCGCCACCTACAGCCTCAGCTGGTCCGGTCGGCAGCTGGACGCGTGACGTTATCTGAACCGCCACCAGCACCTACTACAGGCGGGCGCAGGCGGCGGACGAAGTGAGACTTTCTCTGCTCTGCTTTTGCTCGACTTAGGCTCTGCAGCTCTGCGTTGCGACCACACGTTTGCACCAAATCCATGCGTTTGCACCACACCCATGCGTTTACACTGGACCCACGCGTTTACACTGGACCCATGCGTTTACACTGGACCCATCCGCTTACGCCATACCGACGCGTTTACGCCGTACCCACGCGTTTACGCCAGACCCATGCATTTATACCAGACCCATGCGTTTACACTAGACCCGTGCGCTTACAACAGACCCATGCGTTTACACTAGACCCACGCGTTTACACCAGACCTGTAAAGGCCTACCGCAAACTAACCATCATTATGCGGCGTGGCATGGATAGACTCAACAGCTGCAAAACGTATCGCACCACTCTCCGACTCTTGGCCAAGCACGGTGAAAGGTCAAACCCCATCATCTAGTTCCATGGACTTCCCAGATTGCTTTAGACCAGGTTTGGTTTTCAACCACCAAAAACTGTCCCGTTGTACGTGGAGAGAAACACAATTCTATGAATCATTGTCCCATTCGCAGTGCCTACATGAGGTCCGGAGTCCATTCTTGATTATGGGGCAACGTTTTCTTTCACCTCCGCCGGGCCTCTCGGACGGCAGAGGCCCTCAGCTGCTCGTCGTTTCGTTGCCGTCGTCCACCACGGCCTCCTGGCCCTCACTGAGTAGACTTCCCGAGTTCAGTTTGGCCACAAATCGACCGCCCGATACAAAAACCCTCACCGTGCCGTGAAAATTATCATGCACAAGGTGATTAGCACGTTGTACGCCTGTCTATGGATCGGGTAACCTCCTTCCATCACCGCCACATAGTATGTTTGCATGATCCGGTGAGCCTGCACCGTCCAGCGGCACGCTCGCGTCACGGCGCGGCTGAGAGCCCCAACCGCCGAACGTCCCCCTGGTGGCGCCATGTCTCGTCACCTGTCAGCACCCGCGGCCAGCCCGCCGCCAAAGGTCACCTGTATGCTCCCGGCTGTCGCTGTAAAGGTCACCGATGGCGCGGGCCGGGGCCGACGTGACCTCACGGGCCCGCATCCGGCGGCGGCCGGCAGGTCAGGCCGCTCGCCTGACCGCCCTCATACCGGCCGAGTACGGCACCGGCGCCGAGCAGCGGGCTCCCGGGCCGTTGGCCTTTCCATACTGGCTTTACGACCCGGCCTTACGGTGACCAGCGCCCCTTGTCACGTCGCCCAACCTACCTCTCCTCGGGCCGGTCTGTCGCAGAGCCCCGAAGGCGAACCTGGGCGCTGTCCGCCCCACTGGCCTGCCTCCAGTCCTAGCGGCTCACTCTCGGCGCCGGTGAGAGACTGGCAGAGATGAAACGCTGGCACGCCTCGCACTGTTGACCGGGAGTCGGCTGGCCAGCCGCCGCAGGATACCGAGGCGCCACCCCGGTGCACGGGCCGCCGTGGCGCCCGCTGCTGGGCTGTGTGAGTGGCTGGTCCCAACCGCCGGCGACGCGCGTCGGACGCCGCCGCTCGCAGTCCCGTGCCCAACTCAACTCACGGCCTCTCCAAAATAGCATTTATTCCCGCGTTACAAAGCCCGGCGCTCTGGCCGGAGGCACTTTTTATATAACGATTAGATAACTCCAATGGAAAATACATCACTGTAACATGTAACCACATCACACACAGACGCCGGCTACAGACTTCAAAAATCCTCGCCGAAGCCGGAGCCGTGCTCGCTTGCAAAGAAACCTCAAAACAAAAGGGCGGCCGGTGTTGGCCTCTTAGTCTCTGTTCAGAGCGAAGCGGCAATTTCTGAGGGCGTGCACGTACGCTAAGCCGGGCGCTACAGGGCCAGAAGACGGAAGGGAGGCGCTGCCGTTGGCGCTCACACTCGCACGCGTCCCTCTCTCTCTCTCAGTCTCTCGTGCGCGCACTCTCTCTCTCTCTCGCTGTTTGACGCCGACCCGAGCCGTGAGGGGGGCCGGGCGGCGCGCGGACGACCGGCGCGGCCGCTAAGTAGGCGGCCTCCTCTGCGTCCGACGGCGTCGCTCGAGCGCGGCCGGCGAGCGAAGCGCACCGCATCGCCGCCACCGGCCGGCCGGACGTCCCCGCGTGTCTACATGTTCTCGAAGGCGTCGACGCGCCGCTTGGTGTTGCCCTTGCGGATCTCGCGCAGCGTCTTGTACTTGTCGCGGCCCTCCTTCACGTTCTCCTTGTGCAGCTTGTCCATCTGGGTCTCCTTGCTGTCGTCACGGGTCTCGGCCAGTTGGTCCTTCAGAGCCTGGTGACACACGCAGAGAAGACTCGTTCAGCGTCAGCCCGCGCGCCGGTGAGTGAATGGACTACGATTACGGACATTCATGTCACTGCAGGGTATTTGCTCACTTGTCTATCATGAAGCTGACGTCACAGCGTATAATTAGGAGTATACTCCCGGGAAATTTTGACTCGTCGTTCTTTACGCAAGTTCTTACTTAAAGCGAGTCAAGAATCCAGATTTCCAATGACGTGTGGGCACAGCAGAAAGGATTGGAGACATCAACACCCCTTGCAAGCCACACGTGCCGTACAAACTGCACGACAACCAACTAATGAATTCCAGGAGAAACGACAGCCCAATCCTTCACATGAAGCCGTCGGCAAGAGTTGCGTCTGCTGCGGCGTGTGACCCCACGAACCGCGGACGGCCTATGCAGCCGTGCAAATGTCAGTGTCGTCAAACGGTCGTAGCCGGGAGGGTCGTGTCCGGCTGCCGCACCAGACACGTGACGTCCCCCCCCCCCCGCTCCGCTGACCGGCACAACACCCGCCAACATTCACGCGCTCAACCTCCGCCGGCAAGCGCCGCGTGCACGGAGGATTAATTCGACAGCGACGTAGCGCCGACACGGTGATATCACGCAAGCCCAAAGGTCAGCCAAAAGCTTGTTTAGATTAGATCTGTTCAACACAGGCACTCCTCTCCGCGGGAGAACGCCGTGGTGGGGTGCCCGACAGCCCGCTCCCTCCGCCGCTGTCGGGCGGGCCCCGTGTCGCGGTGGCGTGCTCGACACACCGTCGCCCCCCCCCCCCCCCCCTCCTTCCCGCTGCCGAGCCGGCCACCTAGCCCGCGTGACGTCACCGCGCCCCGTGACGAGCTCGGGCGACTCCGCGCCGCGGCGCCCGCACGGGGCGAGCCGCCGATGCCACTGCGCAGTGCCGTCGCCCCGCCTCCCCCTCCCCCCCACCGGGGCGGCAGTACGGCGAAGCTGACGCGTGACGTCACCGCGCCCGGCGCGAACCGGTCACCGGCCGCCGCGGGCGAGGGGCCGCGCTGTGGGCGGACCAGCCCCGTGCGAACCAAACGCGGCGGACGCGGAGACACGCCGGGTGCCGGGTGTGACGCTGGTGAGCACCACAGCAACGCCGCCAACTCAAGCCACATTTGAGTATGTTTGATCACTTTTGAAAATCTAGAAGTCTCGACTGGAAATGTTTTGGGTGGGAGAAAAAGGTTACACAAACCTATGTGGAAAACTGGGTGCCCTGGAAACGTGCTTAACGAGTGGAAGTGCTACTCCCAGCACCATATCGTTACAATATCCTTCAATACCATGCTATTCCTTTATGAGCCATCTGAATGATAGCTCTGTATAACGCACGCAAAAATCATTCCTGCACGTACGAACTGTAAAAAGGTACTACACTGTCGGAAACATCCCATAACGACAGTCAGACGACGCCTATTTACGTGCCACACGCTGTACGCCAGATAGTTACCCTACCAAGCGCAACAGCATGGCACAACCAGAGGAATTCACAAGAAAGTGCAGCAAACAGCTCGGACATCGGATACCTAAAAACGGAACGTTACTCACAAAGAGACCTTAAGTGTGTTTGACCACCGGAAACCCCTTCATGATCCCCAAACCAAGCCGTTCGCCATCGCTCCTTAGTGTCGCACATTCCCATCTGCTCAATCACTACTGCCCCGCAGTCCCAAACCCACAGCTGCATCCGAGACGCTAGCCCCCGCCCGCCCCCCCCCCCCCCCCAACCACCGCACCGGCGGCTACGTCCAAGTTTGCCCCTGCACCCCGCTCCACTCCCCAGCGACCCCCACAGCCATTCCCACCCAGCCGCCGCTCTCACCAGCAGCTGCTCCTGGAGTCGCTCGTTCTTCTCGGTGGCCGTGCGACGCTCGTTGACCGGGTCCTCGAAGCTGCCGTCGTCCTCGCCGGCCAGCTCGCGCGAGATGTCGCCGTTGGCCACCAGCTCGTCGTTCTCGTCCTCGTCGTGGTCGTGCACGTGGTGGTGCTGCGGCGTGGAAGCGGCCAGCAGCGCGGCGGCGGCCTCCTGCTGCTTGACGCGCGCGTCCTCGACCTCCTGCTGCAGTCGGCGCGTCTCCTCGTCCTTGCTCTGCACCTCGGCGCTGATGGCCTGGACCTCCTCCTGCTTCGCGCGGATCTCCTCCTCCAGCTTGGCCTTCTCGGCCGCCTCCATCTCCTTGGCTTCCTCCAGGCGCACCATCATGGCCTGTGGCCGGACGGAGAGCATGCGTTAGCGCCGGCTCCGCCCACACGGAGCAGATGGTGTGCTGAGGCCGCGGCACGCGACCGCCAGAGCACGCGGCTCGCGGTCAGCTCCAGGACACACACACGCACACAGACCCTCTACAATTACAAGGACGGTGCTCGACAGCGAGAAAACCGAATGTGCGTCGTCAGGCTTTGTGGCACGCAGCCAACTGGCTCGGAAGCGGTGCCAAAGAGCGTACGACAGCTCACTGCATACTCATCCAGTCTGTCGCTTAAGACGAAGTTAAGACCGCAACAAAAGCCGCAAAGCATCGCTGCGCCGCTACCAGAGGACTCACACCACGCCGCGCACCGCTGACCATTCCGCCTCAAGACAAAACTGTCTGCGATTCTGACCGTCAGCGTGCCCACCAACGGCGGCAACAGCGCCGCCGGCTGGCCGCACGGTCCCACCAGTCCCACCAGCCCGACCTCCGACCCGCCCGCGCCGCCAGCGCCGCCTCTCACCTGCAGCTCGTTCTGTTTGCTCTCGAGCTGCTCCTTGGCGGCCTGCAGGGCGCGCAGCTGCTCCTCCAGCCGGCGGATCGTCTCCTGGGCGTCCTGCAGCTCCTGCTGGCGCCGCTGCATCTCCTCCTGCATGTTCTTGAGCCGGTCCTCATACTGGCGCTGCTTGCGCTCGGCCTCCTCGCGGGCGGCGATCTCGCGCTGCAGCTTCTGCCGCTCCGTCTGGCGGGCCAGCTTCTCCTCCTTGGCCTGCGCCTTCATCTGCTGCACCTGCGGACGGGCGGGGCCGGCGGCGGCGTCAGGCGATGGGCGCGGAGCGGGCGCGCACGCGCAGGATCCGGCGGCCGCGCCGGAACCGGTCGCTGCAGGGGCCGCGGGCGGCGTGGGGAGGGCCGCGACTGCACGGTCGCCAGGAGAGGCGTCTGCAGCGCCACCAACGGACGGCGTGGGGAGCTGCGGGGAACGACACTGAGACCCTGACGAGGCCCAAACGGCAGACAAGTCCGGAAAGACGAGACGAACTATCAAGCTTGAGGTCAAACAACACGCTACGCACACACATCGTGGGTGAGGTGGAGCACACCGCGGCCGAGAACCCCCGGTCGGCAACACATGATTTTTCGAGCATAGGCCCAAAAGCGACAAGACAGTCTCGACTGCAGCGCCGCTGACATTGCAGACAAACACCGCGCAGGGCGTGTTCGCCAGCATCCACTGCACCCGGGACACAGCGCCGATCCATCTGAGCATCACTCCGGTCCAAAAATCAATGTGAATCTGAGCGCTACAAGGCAGCACATGATTAATATATGCAGATACACTACAGTGCCGCGGATATTTTTTGCCAACCTTGATGACAAAATGTTTTTTCATAAGGAGTTTGATGTTCTTGACGAACTGGTACGACCTCCAAACCCTATGCAGGCCTCAAGCCAGATCCACGTGGCGCCGCCTTTATGTGACGTAAACGGGGCCGTGCCGGCGCAGTGCCAACACCACGCAGCCCTCTCCTGAGACGACGACCCGCCGGCCTCGCGCGCACGCCTCCCCCGCCGGCGAGGGCTGATCGCTCACCTCAATGGTATCCGGCTTCCGGCGGCGCATGTACAGCTCGTGGTTGCCCATGCACAGCGCCAGGATGCGCTTGTTGATCCGCAGCCGCGGCGCGAAGAAGATGAAGTCCGGCGACTTCTTGTCGATCGGCTTAATGGTGAACTTGCGGTCATTGAAGCTGATGTTGCGGATTTCCGACCAGGGGAAGCCGATCTTGGGCGTCAGCTTGTCCTCCTTCTCGTAGATGTTGAGGCCGAGCGCGTCCACGCCCAGCCAGAGGTCAGTGCCCTTCTTGTTCTTGATGTCGAAGTAGTTGACGCCGTACATCTCGAGATCCTGGCCCAGCTTCAGGTACTCCATCATGGCGTCCTCGCGCAGCATGCCGCGGTGCTCCTTGTACCAGTTGGTAATGCGGTCCTCCCACTCCTCGCGCGTCAGCTTGTGCTGGTCCATGACCCTGTGGCAGGAGGGCGGGCAGTGGCGGCGTCAGCGAAGGGCACACGCCGGGGCGTGCGCACAGCGGCGCCGTGACGGCGCCGCGGGCCGAGCAACCCAGCAAGGGACGTGGCCGGTTACTGTAAACTTGGGAGGCATCTACCGGTGACAGCCGGCCTGGCCTTCCGTGCGAAGAGATGACGATTTGAACTTTACAGCGCGCAGACTACCCTGGTCATATGAAGGGTCTGCGCGTTTAGAAGACCTTGTGAACTTTCGCCCCTGGCGACGGTTCGTGTGGCCACGGCTATGGTGTCTGCGCACGGCATGGAGCCGCGGGGCGTTTCGGGGCGAGGGACCGCAGGCAGCGCCATCTATCCTCGACGGCACATCCAATCCACGCCCACGTCACCGTCCGCAAACGTGTTAGTCGCAACTGAACGAGCTCATGCAACAAAACGCACTACAATCCGACGTCACCCACGAAAATCCTTATGGACGACGGGTGCACCCTCAGTCACTGTCATTCTCACGTCATCTCGGAACACCAACCGCACCAAAAACAAGCAACAGCAAAACTCCACTCCCGGGCTACCGAGTTAGCATCACTCAGGCGCTGCGCTCCGCGGCGGGCTACACTCGCATACGGCAGGCTGAGGCACACAGCGCGGCCCTCCCGGCCACAGGCATGCGGCCGTACTGGTCCGGTCAGACCAGGTCAGGTCAGGTCAGGCTAGGTCAGCTCAGGTCATGCCCGGCGCGCGTCACCTGCACGACAGCAGCCGCTCGCGCTCCCACGACGGCAGGTCCGGAGGGTCGTCGCTGAAACCCGACACAAGCTGGCGACACAAGCTCAGGACTCGCTCCAAGCGCGCCCACCACCGCCACCACCCGCAGCCACAGCCACAGCCACCACCAGCAGCCACAGCCACAGCCGGCAGCCGAGAAGAGCACAAGGCGGCAGGGTAGACGGGCACGACCCCGAGCCACGCGCTGACGGGACTGTGCGCCGCCAAGCGCTGTCAGGTCCACCAAGAGAGGCTACGGGCCAGCCCAGCCAGACTCACCTCGGGATGACAGGGGAGGGTCGGGAGAGGTGAGACATGCTGAGTAACGGCCGGACCCGCCAGCGCGCGCGCTGACCAGGCGGGCCGACCGGGGCCCAAGGGGAGCCGCCCGTGACGTGAAATGGTCAGACGCCCACCTCCACGCGCCGTGTCGGATGGGACCAGCCAGGCGGCCGCAACCGGCGCTCGGCGGTGTGTGCGGGGCCCGCGAGACGTGAGAACCGCGTCCCGGCGATGCGCGGCGCCCGAGCGGGCCGGCCACGGCTCCCGGCCGTCACCGGCCCGGGCCGGCCACGGCTCCCGGCCGCCAACGGTGCCGGCCGCCCGCCACCGCGGCCGGAGCGGCCGGCACCGGGACCGGCCGGGAGGGAGCCCCTCCCACCAGTTTGCCGCAGTCAGGGTCATACGCTGCGGCCGGCCACAACCGGCCAAGGGGCGGCGTGGGCGTGCTGGCCGGTCCCGGAACACGGCCCCGTTAGCGCAAGGGGCACTCGGTGCCCGGTGTGGGCGTCTCCGACAACCAGCCAAAGTGGGATTCGTGAGGGGCCCTGCCGCGCCCGCCACACTGCTCAAATCGACGCAGTTGGCGTCGACCAACACCGAACAGGCAGCTCCGCCCAGAGCCCGACACGCTCCCGACAGCACAGAAAGCCAGCAGCTGGTCCCGGACGGCCGCACCGCCGTCGCAGTCAGGGCGCACCTCTGCGGCAGGAGGCGGTCGTTCGAGAGGAAGCCCTTCTCGTGCTGTTCGTCGCTGTAGTCGCCGTATTTGGCCTGGACGGCGTACGACGCGAGCAGGACCGATGTCTCCGGCGGACAGTACACCTCATCGGACAGGATGGCATTCTTCACTTGCAGGTAGAAGAGTTTCTGCGGAGGGAGAGAGGGACGGTGAGCGCTGGTCACAACCGGTAGCAAGAGCACAGCAACAGCGACCCGACAGCGACTTTTGCAGCGACATGATTTGAAAAAGGCGCTCTTTGTAAATATGCGTGCGCCTAATAAAACACACCTTCAAGGCATGTCGTCGTGACGGAAAACCCTCACTTGTACTGACAACGCACGCTCGTTTCCTGCTATCCGCATACACCTAGCATGACTCGTCTGCGAGCGAGGCCGTTCCAGGCGAGCGTCATCCAGACACGCGTCCGCCACATCGCGGCACGGCCGGCTCCAGGTGCCCGGCACAGGGCCGGCCGGAATGCGACAAACCGGGGCCGCTCAAACCGCCGCCGCCGCCGCCGCCGCCGCTAATCCCCGCGGGGCTTCGGGCGCGGCGCTGCCGGGCGGCGGCTTAGCGGCGGCGAGCGGAGGCCCCGGCGCCCGGCGCCGCCCGCCGTACCAGCGTGATGTCCTGGATGATTTCCTCAGCCACGTCCTCCGGGTAGAACTTGGCGCGGAACTTGAACTGTAGCGGCGTCTCCTTCTTGATGTCCTGGCTCGTCACCTGGCGTGGGCGGACAGCGAGACGTCAGACCAGGACACGGCCTTGCGAGGTGAGTGTGGCAGGCGCGCGCAGGCAAGGCATTACTACATCGGACCACGCGCGTCTAGAAGCGCATAGTTTTATGCAATGCCAATGCCAAAAGGAAGAAGACTGGCATGCTAACGCAAGCGATAATCTCCATGCATCTGGTGGAGCATCCTCATCAACCAACCTCCACTAGTGCAACAACAAAAATATCAAGAACGCGATTTTTAAATACTTTGCTCGCCTACCGCCACGGACACATACTGACTAGCACTCCAGTGATAGACGATTAAAACTGGGTTAGCGTAACCCATCAGTCGCCACTTTCCCACGTCGATTACTTCACATGTGGTCAGTTGTACTCTCCGGCGTCGGCATAATGAGCTTACGCTTGATCGAAATTGGCGTCGTAGCCAGCTCGCTCTTGCAAGCCCGTCGGCTGATCCGATCAGGACCCACACCGAGACGGCTGCGCCGCACGGCCCCCTGCCAGGGCCGCGCGCCCCACCGTGGCGTCAGCTCCAGCCATACGTGGAGCTTGGGCCGGCGCGCGCCTGGCACACCGTGCCTCGGCCCGCTCCCCTCCCCGACTGACTGGAGGACGGCCCGAAGAAGGCGCGGCAGAGGCCCGCACCGACGGCGGGACCACGGCAGGCCGGGGACGTGTGGCGCGGGGCCTCGCCCGGCGTCGTCCACGCAAAAACCGCAAAGACAGCGCCACTCACCAGCCCGCAGAGCGCCGGCGACTCACAGGTACGCCGAACCGTGCCCGCCGGCGGCCGGCGGACAGCCGCAGTTCCGGTCATTGAGGCGCGGCGCCGGGCCCGGCCGTGACCGAGACGTCCTCGTCACCGGCGCACCCGACCCTGGCGTCACTCAGGCTACGGGTGTTGGCGCTCTCTGGTGTGGCGTGACTCGGTGACTACACCCAGCGCGCCGGCACGGACCTCTGACTCATGCGCTGCGGGCGCTCCCGAGCCTGCCGTGACTCAGGGAGTCACGGAGAGCTCACCGAGCCAGCGGCACACCCGGTCCGACCGTGACGTCACCGTGCGCTCGCATCAACGGAACAGTGACGCCACACGGTGAGGTCACCGCGCCGCTCGGCGACGGCTCCCGAGGCTTCCACCACTGAGTCACCGAGCGCGGGACAGTGCCGAGCTGTCGGCAGGTGGCGGTATCTCTTGAGGGCGCCGCGGCGGCGGCGCGGATGCAAACACAGCCGGTGCAATTGCAACGAACACAAGCGACACCTGCGCGAGGCGAACATCTGGCGCCGTATCAGCGCGGCCGAAGTGAAAACGGCGACCTCCGCACCCCCGAGCGCCGGCCGCCTAGGCCGCCGACAACCTTGCATGGGCAGCGCCGGCTCGTCAAACCGGGACGGACCAGTCCCCGGCGGCCAGCAGGAATTCCGCCCGTGCCGCCCGGACCCGCGCCCGGCGCGTCCCGCCGCCCGGCGCCGGCGCCGCGCCGCCGCCAGACACCGGCCGGACGCAGCGCCGCTGCACTGGCCCACCTGTTTTGCATCGTGCACGGTGGCGTGTGCACCAGTTTGGCCGCGGCCGGGTCGGCGGCCGTGCGGCCGGACCACAGCGCTCGGCGGCGCCGGAGCCAGTCCGCCGCCGGTCCGGGCGACGGGCGCAGAGCCAGACCGGCGCCGGCCGGACCAGACCGCAGGCCCGGGCGACACGCGGAGAGCGGCGCTGGCAACAGACCGGCGCCGGCTCCGCGTCCGTGCCGCACAGCAGTGCGGCGGGCAGGGGGCATCCGCCCGCGGCGGGCGACAGTCTCCGCCACTGACACGACACGAGCGATACGCGGCAGGAGCGGGTTTGCAGACGACACGGCAGCAGCTCCGGAGTCCTCACTGGAGTGACCCCGGCGCCACGCTGCAGACATTCCCGAAACATCGCCACAGCGCCTTAGGAATCGCTCAGACTCGAGCAGCTACCGCCGCTACCCCTAGGTCGTCTCCAAAGACTCCGAAAAGGTCATCACACGGGCTCCCGTGTCGCCCTCCCGTGTCTCCCCGCGCCGACTCAAGAACACTGCTGCTGGCTCCCCAGCGACTCCCCAGCCGCCCTCACACCAGGCAACCCAGCCGCTCCCGCACCCGCCCCCACACCCGACTCCCAGGCCGCCACCGCAGATCGACAAAAACGCGTGGTCGCGCCACCGGCGCTGGAGCCGTCCGGTGGACGGCGTAATCGGTCGGCTCGCCCGGCCGTGAAAACGAGCCGCCCCGCCAGACGCACAGACGACACGGAACCGGTGTCTGAGAACGCGTCTCGTCCGTTCTACGCGCGTGGACAAAAGGATAAGGGGGCAAGCGGGGGCGTTCTTAGCGCGATGACCACCATCGGCCAGGAATTAGGACGGTGGGACCGGGCCCCGTTGGGTGGGGAAGTAAAACTGGCTGTACAAGCGTCATCTGCGGTCGGCCGCGAGGCGTCAGCATGTAACCACGTCACGTGTTTATGTGACTGCGATACGGGCGGGAGCTGGGACGGTCGGTCCAAACGGCCCAGAGCGGAGAGTGCAACCGCCGGACCAGGCTGGTCACTCGCGGCCTGGGTCCGTCAGCCGAGCCCTAGGTCGTCCAAACGGAGGCCCGAATCAGTCGAATGACGCCCCAAGCCGCTCAGGCGGGCCCCAGGCCGATCAGGCGGGCCTCAGGCCGGTCAGGCGGGCCTCAGGCCGGTCAGGCGGGCCTCAGACCGGTCAGGCGGGCCCCAGGCGGTCCGGGGTCCGCCCCGCCATGGAGGTGGGCGTGGCCGCCGGCCGGCCCGGCCGAGCGGCGGCCGTTCCCACGCGAACCAGCCGGCGGAGAGGGTGCGCCGGGCCGCGGCGCGACCGCTCCGCTCGGCTGGCCACAGGCGCGGCGACCGCCGGCCGGCAGCCCGAGGCCCGGCCCGGCCCTCCGCCCGGAGGCACGGGCCGCAGCGGTGAGCCATTGCCGGCCGCGCTCGGTACGTGCCCGCGCAACACGGCGCCGCCGACAGTCATGCCGGCGCTCCGATCAATCACGGGTCCGGGCGTGATGCATGGCCACGCGCTGGCGACAGCCCGGGGACAGGGGGACTGCCGGGCCGTCTGAGGCTGCGGCGAGCTGCGGCAGCACGCCCTCCTTCCCGGCGCCGGCGGACGCTCATAGCGGCCTCTCCTCGCGGCACGGCCAGCGTTCAGGTCGCGACGCCGAGAACAGCGCTGGCATTCACCCGTGAATCGCATCGCCAACCAACCAGGCCGCTGTTGGCCGACACGAAGTCTCGTGACTGCACGCTCAGTGCTCAGGCACGCCTGGGCCAAAGTCGTCCGCATCTGGACCAACGTCCATCGCCCTCGCGCGACATGGGTCAGGAGCGGCGGGTTCCCAAGCGTCCGCACCGGCCCCGCCCTGTCGAGGAGCCGGCCGGGTCCGACGGTCGCCGCCTCCGCGCTTTCACGGCGCAGCTCCGTGCCGAACGGCCGCCCAAACGCGCCAACCGAGCCCAAACAGCCGGGCGTAAACGGGCCGGCCGCCGCCGGAAACGGTCGCGTCAGAGCCCGGCCGGCCAGGAGATCCGGGCGGGGGAGGGGGGCGGGGGCGGGGGCGGGTGGACCGACGCCGGGCGAGCAGCCGGCCGGCGCCGACCCGCCTGCCGGCCGGGCGCGCCCCACACACGACGGTACGGCAGCTACGCCCCGACCGCACCGCCGACAAATACGCCACCCTGCCAGTCACACTTGACGCGTGATGCCGCGACGACGGCGAGAGCAGGGCTGAGGCGGGTGTGCCGCGAGCAGCGCGCGGGCCGGCGGCGCGCCACGACCAGCGGCTGAAAAATAGCTAAGCAGATGACGCCCCCCTTCCCTCCCCCAAATGAGATGGGAACGGCTAGCGTCCAGAAGACTGGTGATAGACATGTCCCAGGCCCTGTAGACACGCCCCGCGACACACGAAGAAGAGAGCTGGGCCGGGCCAGGCCAAGGCGCTGGTGAGCGAACGCCACTTCAACAGACGGGCGCGTGGATAAGATACCGTATCCGGGCGCGGGCGGAGATGACCGCCAGCGCCGATAGCGACGTACGGGAGGCAGTGCTGGCGCACCGGCCGTGCTCGCACGCGCCGCCGCCGCCCTGGGCCCGCTCTCGCCACCGGCCACTGCCGGAGCACAGGTCCGCGGGCGCCGGCTGCAGGCGGCCGGCCCGCTCTGCAGCCGTGTTCGGTCCGTGACCGGGCCGCACGGGAGGTGGCCGACTGTCCACGTCCGACCGCTTCGGGAGACCCGACGGGCCGACGCCAGGGCGCTTCAAACAATGGCGGCAAAGCACACACACACCAGCTTCACTTATCGGCAAAAGCGTATTCTTCATGTTTTGGCGACTTCTCGATGATTCGGGGCGAGAGTACAAGGTCGAGATAACCACTGTCGGAGAAGAGCTCCAATCAGATACCAGAGCTCCACCAACGACAGCCAGCCGTGTGGTCAGAGCGGCGGAGGGCAGTGCGTAGCCTCACCTTCTTGTTGAGCTTGAGCCAGGTGGTGTAGCCCTTGCTGTCGACGTACTGCAGGCCGAAGAACCAGATCTCGCGCAGGCCGATGGTCTTCACCACCTGGTCGAAAAGCTGCTTGCCGGTGGTGCTCTGCTGGATGGCGAACTCCAGCTCGGCGTCCATCGTCGTCACGCGGATGTTCACCTGCGAGCGCGGCCAGGTGGGTCAGGTCAGGTCAGGTCAGGTCAGGTCATGGCAGGTCAGGTCAACAACCGATGCCGGCCACCCATGCGCTGACGTCGAGCCTGACACAGACACGCGAGCCGAGGCGACAAAGACAAACGTTGCCCACACGGCGTGGCAAACACACCAGACGGAGTGTGGTTGTTCGATTTCCAGTCGCAGGTCAAACGTACAGCGGAGTGACCCTTCCCGTCGTAGCCTGACGCGAACGTCACCTGTGCACGGCGCAATCTGTTCAATTACGACAGCAATTAAGATCAACGGATGCGTTGATACGGGCTGTGCTTACATGCGACAGCAAATAGTGGCGCGGGTGGTAAAAAGTTAACGCTTTTGACAGCACACAGGTACTGAAAAACGAAGGCGGCGAGATTCTACTTGAACTTACCCGCGAATGGAGGGCCATTCTGACACGGACGGGTGAATGTTAACACGCTTCGGGAATATTAAGCGACATTTATTATATGCTCGGGCATTCAGCAACACAACCACTTCGCCAGAATCTAGGATCCTACTCTAGTTCAAATATCTAACTATGGCTGACCAACTAGTCTTGCACGTCATGCCCGGAACTGCTTTTTCGCGCCTTCAGCGACACAACCACTTCGCCAGAATCTAGGATCCTACTCTGGTTCAAATATCTAACAATGGTTGACCGACTAGTCTTGTACGTCCTGCCCGGAACTGCTTTTGTAACTATCTAGAGACGCTGTAAACACCACCAGAACCGCTAATCCCGATGATCTGCTAATCGTCACACACCAAACACCAAAATAATGAGCACCATCGGTACGTGATCATCTCTTTAAACACGTGCGTAATTAAGCGGACGAAGCTGCGTGTCTGATGTTTTCCACCAGGCATGAGCGCTCGACTGTTCCCGCTTTCGCCATGACGGCCGCCCATCTGCGCTGGCAAGAATGCCGACAAAAACGCTCCTCGTATTCATCCAGGATGTCCTTCGTTGCCTTCATCTCACCCCGCCGCCGCCGGCCCGATAAAAACGGAAAATCCCCACGCGCCGGAGGAGTGAGTGAGCGCGTTCCGCCCGCACCTGGCTGTAAAATCGCACAGCTCAGCGGCGGGGCGAAAGGCGTCGGCTCCCTTCACCGCCGCCGTCACCAGTGTTGCGCACGCGGCCTCACTGTCGGCGGCGGCGGCAACACGAACCGTCTCTCACAGCGCGACAGCTTACGACCATTTTGCGTCATCAGCAATGGTATGCCTTAGCACGGAGGTCTACAGCACCTTTTCCAGCTCCATAATCACTTCTTTACATCGGTTCCCGTCGGAAAACACGGCGCTAAGGCAGCGGCTCCCGACGTTTGGGACGGTGTCAACCAGCGGCGGAGAACGGCACAGCCTCGCCGGCACCGCGCCGGGAACACGGCTTTACGGGGCGTTAGTATACGAGTCCTCACTAGGATGCAACCCTGCTTGAAATCCATTCAAACTAGGCTGTGACGTACCACGCCCACTGGCCGACACACGCTTCTATAAACATCGCCGTTTCACAGATGAAACGCCCGTCCCCCCCCCCCCCCTCCGGGAGACAGCTCGCGCGCCAGCCGACACCCGCCACTCGGAGGCTCGCCGAGGCGACACACGGCCGCTCGCCTCGGTCGCGGCAGGCTCGCCGCGGCGACACGGCCGGCTGGGGCCGTGCCCAGCTGAGCCACGCCACTAAAGGCGGCTGGCCTGACCAGCGGCGGCGTTGCGTCAGCAGGTGCGGCCATCGCCGGACCCAGACCTCCGCTGTGACGGCGACTGAGCCCTGACCGGAGGCCTGACCCCGCGCGGCGGTCGGCGTGCGCGGAGCAGACGCCGCTGAGCACCGACACCGACCCCGGCCGGCCGTCGAGCACCGGGCTCTGTGAACGGGAAGCTGCGTGCTCGGCATGATTCAGTCACGCGGAACAATGGCCCGGAGCCCCACCAAAGGCCAGCATCGAAATTATGTTTTGTTTCAGCTTGGGTCAAGGCTTCTCTGTTCTGTGCAGCGCACAATACACACAATCTTGCGTATGCAGCCGGACAACTATTAACTAGGCAGGCCCACAAGCCAAAAGACCACGGACACCATGTTGGCCGTGTCGGGACGCCGCCAATGGAGGCGGGTCATTCATCGATAACATCCATTGAGAGTTCTTCGGCTGGAGCGGCGCCGCCAGCTGGCCGCCGTGACGTCAGCCGTGTTCGCACCCCGGCCCGGCCGGCACACGGCGTGGGCTGACTGGACGGCCGCCAGTCGCACCGGCTGCCAGCCCTGCAACGGCCCCTCCTCCAATCAAAACAGACGCCCGCGCGCAACCGGACGCAACCCCAGCCGCGAACGCCGCATGAGATCAAGCGTCTCCATTCGTCAGACGCGATTTTCTCGCCGGCCGCCGCCGATGGTGCGCTGGGGACGACGGGGGTGCCGGCGGCCGCCCGGCTCAGGAGCGGCGGCGCCGCCTCGCCAAGGTCACCGCGCGGTCACGGGTCACGTGGTCCGCCGCCGGCACTGACGTCACCTCCGGTGCGGCCGCCGGCCGGCGGGCGGCGAGCGGGGGTGGCTGCGATGACCTGACGGCGGCCCGACCGACCGCCGGACGGCGGCAGGGCGACGGCAGGGGCGTCACGCTGCACCTGGCGACTAGCAGGGCCGCGCCGACCCGGGCCGGTCCGGCAGCGAGCATCCCGAGCGGTTGGGGGCCGCCGCCACGGCGACCACGGCAACGGCCCGTGCCAGCGCAGGCCGGACGGGCCCGCCACCGCGTGGACCGCGGCCGGCAGCCACCGCCGCCGCCGCCGCCAACGCCGCCACCGCGGCTGCCGCCACCGCCGCTGCTGCCGCCGCCGCCGCCGCCGCCGCCGCCGCCGTGGCGAGCGGTAACGGACCATGCTGCGGCGCCCGACTTGGGCCGCGGCCGCGCCGCCCCGTCACGGCCATGCAAACAGGCGACGAGCGGTGAGCGGCGAGCGGCGCCGGCGGCGGAGCGCCCGTGCGCACACAATCCGTCGGCGAGGGATGCCCGCCCCTCGATGCCGTCCTGAGCTTCTGAAGAAGACACTCCACCTCATGCCTGTGTCGGCGGGAAACGCGAAAACCTTGTGTACTCGCCACGAGTGTATTTGCTGAACAGTTTCCATTCTGGTGCTGGACACACACAGCACTACCGGGCAGGACGGCGGCTCCCACAGGCCAGATACAGCCATTCGTCCAGGAGAAACTGAGGAAGCACCCTTTCACTTGGGAAGGTCGGGACAGGTTTTTATAGATGTCTGCGCTGTCTCCGCGGAGCCCGGGAGAGCGGCGCACCAGGCGGGCCGGCGCGGCACCGCCCCGTTCCGTCGGCAGGAGCGGGGCCAGAGCGCGCACCGACGGCAGAGGGGCGCGGACGCCTCTGCTCCGGCGACACCGCGGTCGGACGTGACGGCCGGCCGCAGGTGCGCCGAGACCGGCCCCTCTTCCAGCCGGTGCCGCCGGGCGCCCTCCGGCGACGCCAGCAGCTGCGCACGCCGCCAGCGCGTCACGGCCGGTTTGATCTCCGGTACGATGGCTCGAGTAAGCAAGGCACGTCCCGCCGGGGCGATAACGGTTTATGGCGTGGCGCAGACTATTCCAGTCGGGGTGCCGCCGTCGCTAGACGACGATCCGGCCCCCGGCAGACGGTAGGCTGACGCACAGGGCCGCGCTCCCTGGCGCCGCCGCGCTCCCCATCCCGCGGCAGGGCCCTGGCGGAGCTGCTCCTGCCGCAGGCCGCCGCCGCGCTCGCGCGCGTCAGCTGCCGCCGATCCGGGCGTGATTTACGGGCGCGGCGGCGGCTGACGGACGGCCGGTGGGCCGCCGCCGCACCGGCTGTCGCGGGCCGATGTGGCGGTCGGCCGGGCGCGCAGGCCTCGCCGACGACCCGCGGCTCCGCGCGAGACGCTGCGCCGGACACCAGATCACGCAGTCATCCACAGGGGCCGCTCATGACTCAACACGAACCGCCACTTAGCAGCCGTGCCCGGCTCTGTGAACAGGCGCCAAGTGATCGAGCGGAGCGCAGCGGCAGGGAAGCGTGCCGTGATGAAACAGGCAGATTAGCGCCGTGAGCACGGCCATCGCAGCTGCGGGCGTCTCGGCCGCTGGCCACTCAGCGGGTCCCAGCTGGAGACCCGATGTGTCGGCGGGGTGCCAACACGGCACGAGCCGCGCCGCGCCGCGCACGCCCGGAAACGCGCAGCGCCCGCGGCCGGTGTGCGTGTGCACCGGTAGAGCTGCAGTGTTCGCCGCCCGGGCCCGGCAGAGCGGGGCGAACGTCCGACGGGGACGGCTCCCGCCCCTGCTCTGAAGGCGGCCGCGGCCGACCGCGAAGCCATCTCGCAGGCACCGCGACGGTGAGCGAGCCAGACGATCGCGACATCCCGGAGATCGCTAGGACACACCATCGGCGCCAGCGACGGGACCGACATCGGGCCCCGCAGCGCACCGGCAGCTCGCGTTATCCGATACGTTTCCGTCTGGCCGGCGCGGCGGCGCGCTCGCTCCGTGCAGTGGCGACGACGGCCGCTCGGGTGGCAGCGACGGCTCGCTCGCCTCGTGCGGAGTTGGCGACGCCTCCGCCGGTACCACCACACTCTTCAGCCGCTATCAGAGCTGGCCGTGGTCGGTATGGCCCGGTGTGGATCGGCGGCCGGGCGACCAACAGGTGTCCGTCCCGCAGGAGCGCTATCTGACAACACAGACCGCTCCTCCACTCGAATAGATCCCGTCGTGCGCGGGAGGGCCCTCCAGAGCGAAGCCGCAGCCTCGGTAGCGGTCAAAGTCCGCTGTGGTTTTAAGGAGTGTACGTGTCACGTACACTTGCTTCCGAATATCTGTCTCGCTCTGTCCAATGAATGCTGTTGACGCCGTATCAAACCTGGCACCAGCTCCGAATGCCAAAACAGTACGAAGCTATATCGCATACCGTTCGAGGAAGGCACAGGCTAGA